GAGTAATTATTTCTGATTTCATTTTTCCCAGATCCTCTTTTGTTGCCAGTTCAGAGAGTCCAGGTGGTTGAGTATCAGAGTGTTCCATCTCCTTTCCCTTCGGAGTTGCTGTAGGTGATCCAGAAGTCTGTTTTTGAGGCTTGTTTATGTGTCTTCTCATTTCCAAGGCGGGGGGGGTGTGTGTGCTTCTGGTGCCCACTCGGCTCACCTTCTCTGCCCTAGGAGCTTGGGATGGCAGTGGGGGAGGTTCCTTCCAGGTGCTGGGACCTGCTCAGTGTCTCTGCCCTAGGAGCCTGGGATGGAGGTGGGGAGCTTCCTTCTGGGTGCTGGGACTGGCTGAGCTTCTCTGCCCTAGGAGCCTGGGATGGAGGAGGGAGCTTCCTTCAGGGTGCTGGGACTAGCCACTTCTGGCTTTTCTAGGATGTCATATATTTGGAATTATATAGTGTATATAATTATTTAATCTTTTCAGATTGACTTCTTTCACTTAGTTGTTTTTCATGTTTTGATAGCTCATTTCTTTTTAGCATTGGATAATATTCCATTGTCTGGATTTACAAGCTTATCCATTCTCTACCTAAGGGCATCTTAATTGCTTCCAAGTTTTGGCAATGTAAATAAAACTGCTGTAATCTCTGAGTATAGGTTTCTGTGTGGATAGTAATTTTCATTTCTTTTGAGTAAATATCAAGGAGTGTAGTTGCTGGATAATGTGGTAAGATTATGTTCAATTTTGCAAGAAACTATGAAACTATTTCAAAGTGGTTGTGTTATTTTGCATTCCTACCAGCATTCCTACCAGAATGAGTGATCCTGTCACTCCCCAATCTCACCAGCATTTGATGTCAATATTCTGGATTTTGGCCATACTAATAGGTGTTAGTGGTATTGTGGTTTTCATTTGCAATTCCCTGATGACCCTGATGACATAAGATATGTGGAGTATCCTTTATGTAGTTATTCACTCTCTGCATATCATCTTTGGTGAAGTGTCCCTTAAAGTCTTTGGACCATTTTCAAATTTAGTCATTGTTTACTCTTGAGTTTTCTCATTTTGGATTTGAATAATAGTGTTTTATCAGATATGTTGTTTGTAAATATTTTCTTCCAGGTGCTGGCTTGCCTTATTCTCTTAACAGTGACATTCAAAAAGAAAATATTTAATTTTAATGCAGCTGAGCTTATCAATGCTTTTGTGGATTTTATGTCTGTTGTGGTATCTAGAAGGTTGTTGCCAAACCCAAGGTCATTTAGATTTTCTCCTATCTAGCCATTTTAAAGTTTATATTTTGCATTTAGATCTATTATTTACTTTGAGTTCATTCTTCTGAAGTATGTAATATTTGTCTTTCAATTCTGTATTTATTTTTTTGCATGAGAATATCTCTAGCTTCATAATGAACAAGTAACTTCAGCTTGACAATTTCTCACGGCTACATTTATACACTATGAAATTTTACCTAAATCATAAGTTTCATGTAAAAGATATTAATAATATAGAGATTATTTTTAGTATTAATAGATTAATTG